TACATGTAGGTAGGTGCACGGTGCACCCATGTCGTGCAATGCCCACAGAGGTCAGAAGAGGCTGTCGGATCCCCTGGAACTGAGTTACAGACAGTTATTAGCTGCCATATGGGTGCTGAGACTCAAACCTGGGTCTTCTGCAAGAACATCCAGTGTTCTTAACCATTGAGCCATCTCTCCAACCCCCCAAAATTTTTTTGATTAAAATAAAATTAAAATTACTGTTTGAGTTCTGACTTGAGTTTCATTTTTAAAAAAATCACTGAAAGAATCTTGGCTTGGGATTAGGACAGAATTTCAAATAATTTCTGAAATGAACCTAAACATACTTCTACCAGCTTACTACATATTTATGCAAAGTGGAATTCTCAGCATTGATGATTACAAAATCAAAGTATCGATCAGCTCTGAAAAATCTTGAAAATACCCTGTGTACTACAGTACCAAATATTTAGCCAAGATTTAATTGTTTCTTTTTGAGATAGGGTCTCATTCTAGCCCAGGCTAACCTGGAACTTACTATGTAGTCTAGGCTGGCCTTGACCTCACAGTGACTTTCCTGCCTCAGTTTCCCAAGTGCTAGGATTGCGGGCATGAGCCATAATACAGTTTCAAGATTTAATTCTCTACATAAAAATAAACAGGTACATACATCTCATTAGCAGACAAATTTGCCACCATCTCTTTTTTTTCTTTTAGACGGACACAGGGTTTCATGTAGCCCAGGCTATCCTCAAATCTTGAACTTTGGATCCTCCTGTTTCCACCTCCCTAGTACTGGGGTAGTAGGTGTGAGCCACCAGGCCTGGTTTATGCTAGGGATGGGACCCACGGCTTCCTGCCTTCTGTCAGCTGAGCTACTTTCTACCTTTTGTCTTTAACCAATGCATTACTCTATACCAAATCATTACTTTAAAATCAATTTCTTTATGGCTTATTGCCAGTAAATGTTTAGTTTTTATACCTGTTTTATATTCCTATATACCTGGGTCATCCAACTTTCAGTCAGGATGAAAGTTTAAGAAGCTCTGGTTTATAGTCAGGTGCGGTGGCACACACCTTTAATCTCAGCACTCGGGAGGCAGGCGCAGGGGGATCTCTGTGAGTTCAAGACCAGCCTGGTCTACACATCAAGTTCCAGGACAGCTGGAGCTACAGGGAGACCTGCCTCAAAAATAAAATAAAATAAAAAAGCCTGCCTTTGTTGTGTGCACACACAGATCTTTTTAATACTTTCAAATCTGTGGTTGGTTGATCCCTGGCCACAGACCTGAAGACCCTGGGGGTATCTGTACCTGGGTGCTAGGCATTTCTCTTACCCACAGTGAGCGCATCAAACAGGCGTTGGATGACGACGGCGTCCTTCACAATCCCCGACTCCTGCACCCGCTTCACAAAGTCGCTCAGCTGCATGTGCTTCTTGGGCAGCTCAAAGTTCTTCACGGCGTCGTCTGCCTTGGGGGCCTCACCTGGCTTGTCCAGGACCTCAGTGATAAGCCGCCTCAGCTCGGGCATCCGCTCAGCCTGGGCCCGCTCAGAGGCCGACATGGATTCCACCATTCTCTTAACAAGATCAGCAGGAAAGATCCCTATGTCCGTCTTATACAGGTTCTGGAAATCCAAGAGGGCGCTCAACAGCTGCCCCTGCATCAGGTGAACAAGGCCACGCAGGTAGAAGTACCTGGCTAGGAGCAGAGAGTCACCAGGGCCCAGCAGGCCCATGGCCTTGCTCAGCAGGGTGATGAGGTCCGTGTAGTACGCCTGAACACACTGGCTCACCAGCGGGAAGTGGATCTCGGGGATCTTGAATGTATACGTGGACTTAGGGGCCACATTCAGAACTGAAAAATCAAGGAAGCAGGCAGGTGACTAGCACAGTCCTGCCAAAGGAGCACAGGGCCTGCCACCGCACTGTCGAGGGCAAAGTTTGTTTGTCCTGGACGAGAGGAACAGCAGGAACCAACGTGCCTCTCCCAGGACACTCCACCACACCAAGGGAGAACCAGAGCCCTTGTTTTGCTTCCAGAGAAACAGCAAATATTTTCCATGGGACATTGTTTTCCAAAGCTATTAATACTAAGCAGGAATGCTGCAAATGGAGCTTTGAGGGTTAAGCTCATAGCCAAAGCCAAGATAAACCTGCCAAGCTGGGTTCAGTCTTTGAAAATAAGTGTTTCACTCCCCTTAACACTGACACTGGAAAGTGGGCATTACCAGAACTCCCAATGCACAGATGTGGACGGTGAGGCCTCATAGACCAGATTACTTGGCACAAAGACATAGCTACTAAGTGTCTCAACCAGGCTGCCACACACCAATTCCTTCAACGGGCGTGATCTAGAACCTCCCAGAGGCTAAGTACTGACCAGGAGTTGGAGTCCCTCTCCTTTCAAGAGCTCCACTGGGACAGAGGACCAAAGCCAGCACTCAGGCCATCCACACCAATGCCAGCCCCACTGGTGGAAAGTTTTCCCCAGAGAGGTGGGGGGGTCTTAGCTATGGAGGCTGGAGGTTGGAGCCTGCAAGTCAGGGCAGAAAAGGTAGACTGTATTCCCAGAGTGAGTGCACAGCACATGCGCTAGGTCCAGAAAAAGGAAGTGGTCTGCCTGGGGTCACACAGCCAGGAAAGGGCTGCACAGGGGCTCACACCTCCTAATGCTCTGAGCACTGAGAAATGGTTGCTACAGGCAACAAGGTTTGTTCATTTACATATACTATCTCTGCCAGACAAACCGTCTGGGGAGTCACAGCTCTCTGGGCTCCCAGGCACCAGCAGCCTGAGCCTAGGCACCCAAAAATTTCTCCTGTCCCCTACGGAAGGAGCATGGTTCCACCTGGATGTGCACAGCAAGAGGCTCAGAGGACAAGTAAAGGATGTCACACGGGACACGCCTTGGGGAAGTTTATGCAGAAGTACAGCATAGCGTAAACACGCCCAGAGGTCAGGGAAACTCCAGACTGGCATCAGATTCACACACACAGGCCTCTTCAACACTGAGGCCCGCTCCTGCTGTCCTCTGCTGACAGGGCCTCCCTCCATCTGCAACAGTGCTGCAGTGCCCAACGGTTAGTACCTAGAAGAGTCCCACAGAACTCAGACCCTGCCCCACCCTGCCCCAACCTCCGAACCTATGTGTGTGGTGTCTCTACCAGGACTGCAGCTGCAGGAGTATCTTAAGGCATGGCCTGGCACACACCAGGGACAACCCATTACATACGTGCAAACAGACATGCACTATATGCATAACCTGCATGCACACTCATGTATACAGGAAGAAGATGCCAAGCTGTGTCACTGTTGCCTTTAACAAGGACCCTGGGTGACAAAATACACAGACAAGAGATAGAGAAACGAGATTTACTAGATGAATCCTCTGAAGTGACATCAGATCATTATACTAAGTTTAGCAATTAAAAGATTTTAAACCTCGGCCAGCAAGGTGGTTCAGCAGGTAACAGTGCTTGCCACCAAAGCCTGATGACTTGAGTTTGATTCCCAGGAACCACGAGGTGGGAAGAAAGAACCAATTCCCACAGGATGTCCTTTGACCTCCACACATGCCCATGGTGTGCACGTGCACGCACAAATAAAATAAAAATTTTAAATACAATGTAAGCATATCCCACCCCTCTGCACCAGGTGTGGTCTCTCTGACTTCAATGCCGGGAGGGTGGGTGCGGCCTCACCTGGGCTGCTGCTTCTGCAGCACGAGGTATCCATTATTCGAAGTGACGAGTTCCTGGGCAGCAGCTCAGGCAGGGAGATGTCCTGCAGGTTGGGCATGCTGACCACCATGCGCCTGTGGGTGATGTGCAGGGGCAAGGCCTTCCTCGAGGCCATCTTCTCCACAGTAGGTCTCCTTGGACTTATAAGCATCCTGTCAACCCTGGGGTGGGGAAGAGCAAGGGTTCACTTTATGGGTACAACGATGGGTGAGTATACATGCCTTTACCACATTCCATGTCCAGTGTAACAAGCAGCGGGAGAGATCCCTACACAGGAGTGCAAAGGGTCACTCAGTCCCACCTCATGCAGCTCAAGAAGGGAAGATAGAGGGTCCCAGGAGCCTACAGTCCCAGAAACAAGCAGGACACTGTCACAGATGGCACATGCATGAAATAAGGGAAAGGTAAAGACAGACTTTGTGGCTGGGGGTGTGAAAAGAAAGTAAAGATGAGCATGTGATATGGACAAGAGACCAGGGCTCAGCATAGGGTGCCGCACACAGGCACACAGAGTCTGCCTGCAGGAAACAGACACACAGCAGCCTGCCTAGGAAAGCTCATGGTGAACTGCTCAACACTGGTCTTTTCCTGATCTTTTATATGTCCAAATAAAACTATGACAGCCAGGCCCTTGGTCCCCAGAGAGCTGGGTGTACAAAACACAGGGTAATGCACCTGTCCTCCTCAGACTGGGTGTCTAGGTCCATCCGAGCAAAGGCGTCCATCCTGCCGTTGAGCCTCGCCTTCAGAAATGAGTGGAACATGTAGGTGTCCAAAACCTGCAGGCAAAAAGGGGCATCACACATGTGCTCAGGGTCCTCCAGCCTCTGTCCAAAGCCTGCAGCAGCCCCGCTGGTCACCAATCTCCCAGCACAGGTGTCTCTGGGCAGCAGTCTCTAAAGAGAGGGAGCCTCACAATTGGCTTTTTTTTTAAATATTTTATTATTTTTATTTTATGTGTATGAGTGTATTCCCTGCATGTATGTGAGTGTACCGTGTTGTGCAATGCCACAGAGGTCAGAAGAGGGCTTCGGATTCCCCTGGAACTGGAGTTAAGGATGGTCCCTGGTCGTCCTTGAGGGAGTGGGCCCCCCATTCCTGCCCTGTCCCCTGGGCCTGGCAGCCAGGGGAAATGGCCTGGGGTGGGGTTTTTTTTGTCTTTAAAAAATATTCATTATTTTTATGTGTATGAGTGTATCGCCTGCATGTATGTAAGTGCGTGCATGTTGTGCAGTGCCTGTGGAAGTCAGAAGAGGGTGTTGAATCCCCTGGAACTGGAGTTACGGGTGGTTCATAGACACCATGTGAGTGCTGGGAATCGAACCCAGGTCTTCTGCGAGAGCAGTCAGTGCTCTTAACCGCTGAGCCATCTCTCCAGCCCCACAATTGGCTCTTTTTAAAATTTATTTTTACTGTTTTTAATTATGTATATGAAGTTGTACCCACAGAGGCACTGGGTCCCCTGGAGCTGCGGTTACAGGTATTTGTGAACCACTCAACGTGCATGTTAGGAACTGAACTCAGGTCCTCTAGAAGAGCAGTGTGTGCTCTTAACCACTGAGCACCTCCAGGCCCTGCAAATGGTCTTACCTACTAGAAGTGTCTGCAGTTCCTCACCTGTTCATCTGAAATAAGCAGCAACTTTGCATTTGAAAAAAAAAAACACATAAAGTTAAAAAGCCCAGGACACCTGACCACTAGGACAGCTATGCCTGCAGTTGGGGGGCAGTTCTCTGGACTCCACAGCATACTCCATCTGGCTCTGCCGGATTTCATCAGCTACCTCAACCTCAAGAACCAGACAGCTCTGGGCTCCTGACTTCACAGGGCCCTGCAGTGCTGGGGTCATTTCCATCTAGACACGAGGGTGTAGTCTGACAAGAAGGCTCTTAGACCACAAGCCACCCCTAAGTAGAACAAGGAGAGAAGGTGCTCAGACCTACGTGGAGAATGACGGCCCAGTGAGAGCCAAGCAGGGAACCCAAAGGTGACACACCAAAGGGAGCTGCTGGAGGGGAAGAGGCTGTGCAGAAGGGTTAGGCCAGCACCACATGACTGGCTGGAGGACCTGGAGCTAGTGTGGAAGGACCACATACATACTCACCCAAATCACTGTGAGAGAGCAGAAGAGAATCACAGGGCAGAAGAGGAGAGAAGGGGCCCAGAGTCCCAGAACCCAGGACAAGACCAGGTGTCCATGGCTCAGTATAGCTGGGAGCTTGGCATTCAGGCTTTCCTCTGATGCCTGGTTCCCATCTTTTACTCCATGAGGTGTGCTATGGTGTACCAAGGGGCTCAGTCCCACAGTAAAACTGCAGAACCAGGCAGAGGTCTGGAAGGCGAGCAGTCTCTGAGCTCACAGGGGTACGAGCTGATGGCGGAGTGATGACCAGGGGGAGAGTGCTGGCTGGGTTGGGCCACAAAGGGGTCCCATGTTCCCTAGTCAATGGGCTAACCTGTACCATGGAGTGAGGTTGTTCTTCCCAACTTAAAGACGAGAAAAACCTGCAAGGAGTTCACAGGGTTGCCTGCCGGATCCAGAGTAAAACCCAGAGTGTTTCTTTGTGTGATGGACAAAATGCTCATTAAGAGAAGAGCGCAGACACTGGCTCCGCCCTGATCCTGGAACATGGCCATGGACAAGAGGGAGCAGCTACTGAGACACAGCCTGAGGGTCAGTCCCAGAGAGGAGGAAAAGAGCCAGCAGAGCTGGGACCAGAATGGTAACAGCAGGAAACTCTCGAAGGACCAGCCCTCCCCACGGATAGAGCAATCAGAGGCGCCTGGGCCGGAGTAGAAGATGGAGACAGGGAACGGGCACTGACGTCCTGACTGCCGGCGTGGTCACCCAGGCACGCACATGCGCCACAGTCCATCAAACCAAACAGTGCCTTTTATTCTGTGTAAACTCTACAAGCTAATTTAAAACAAGAGATGGGGGTGGGGAGACAACTGAACAGTAGAGAGTGATGACTGCTCTTGCAAACATTAAAAAATGAGATGAGCCAGGCATGGTGGCGCACGCCTTTAATCCCAGCACCCGGGAGGCAGAGACAGGTGGATCCTGATGAGTTCAAGGCCAGCCTGGTCTACATAGCGAGTTCCAGACCAGCCATAGTAAGACCCTGACTCAAAACAACAACGAAAATTGAGGCTGGAGAAATAGCTCGGCAGCTAAGAGCACTGGCTGCTCTTACAGAGGGCTGGGGTTCAGTTCCCAGCACCCATAAGGCAGCTAACAACTGTCTCTAATTCCAGTTCCAGGAGATCCAACGCCCTCTTCTGATCGCCATAAGCATTGCATGCACTTACATACAGACAGGCAAAATACTCATACACGTTAAAAAATAAAATAAAGTAAAAAAGAGGTGGCTGGCCTGCCTGGTGGCCACGCCTGTAGTCCCAGCACTCGGGAGGCAGAGGCAGGCGGATCTGTGAGTTCAAGGCCAGCCTGGTCTACATAGTGAGTCCAGGACAGCTGGGGCTACAGGGAGACCCTGTCTCAAAAAGACCAAAAACAAAACAAAACAAAAACCCAATGAAAATGAGATGGCTGAAGGGCGGAAGGAACAAACAGGAGCTTTTGGGAAAAGTGAGTTTGATTAATAAGATATTAACAGACCCTGAAAACCTTGCTTGAGATGTGTCTAAACACAGGAAGGTAAAAATGAATGTAACCACAAACCTGCCAGAACTCCACCTCTTACCTGCTTGTAAAACAGCTGATCCCCTGCCGCTCTCGTTTTGAGAAACTCCTCACTGTTGAACACTCGGTGCTCATAATTCAAGTGATTCCTCACGTCCCTACCAGAGAAGACAGGCCAAGCGCTGAACTATGTCACTCACACATGAAAACACACCACCTTCAGTAGCAGAATGATGACAAGAAACTTTCAAGGCTTATCTAACCCCCAGGACGGCAGCTTCAGGACAGACTGGTCAGTCATCACCGTCCTATCTATAAAGAAGCCAGGGACAGTGCTGCTAACTTCCTCCTTGCCCCTCAGCTCTGTGAGCAAATTAAGGCTGACTCAGCAACCAGCTACCATCTTTTGCAAATGCCACTGGGTTGACAGGGCAATATGGGGATTGGGGTCAAGTTAAGTACTGCCCCATTCAACTACAGCCTGCCCCGACAAGCCTCCCCTCCATTCCCACTGCCTCATGTGGTAAGTTGATGGGACTTCAGTGTACAACTTCCCAGAGCTACAGTGACACCCGACAAATAGGGTAAACAGCCTGCCAAGGTGTGGCCAGAGAGATGTGCCCAGCACCTCCTTTCCTTTGTGAGAAACTTACTCATCTAGGGACATAGAGTTTTAAAGCCTGTAATCTTTTTTTTTTTTTTTTTTGCTTTTTAAAAATGAACTCATTGGTGCGGTGGTACATGCTTTTAATCACACCACTGGGGAAGTGGAGGGAGGCAGATCTCTGTGAATTTGAGGCCAGTCCAGTCTACATAGTGAGTTCTAGGTCAGCCAGGGCTGCATAATGAGACCCTGTCTCAAGAAGAAAAAAAAAAAAGCTAGGCCTGAAGAGATGATTCAGGGGCTAAGAGCACTGGCTGCTCTTTCAGAAGACCTGGGTTCGGTTCCCAGAACCCACATGGCAACTAACAACTGTCCTGACTGCAGTTCCAGGGGATCCGATGCCCTCTTCTGGCCTCCATGGGCACTGCCTGACACAGGATGCACTTACATGCAGGCAATACACTCATACACATAAAATTAATAAATAAAATTTTTTTTTAAAGCCTAAAATGTTGGGACTAAAGAAATGACACATTGGTTAAGAGCTCTTTCTGCTCTTCGAAAGGAATCAAGTTTAGTTCCCAGTGCCTCTCACTCCACTCCAGAGGATTTGATGCCCTCTTCTGGCCCCCTCAGGCATCTGCACACGTTAAGTAAAAATTAAAAATAAATCCTTAAAAAATATATATACACACTTAAAAACAAAATAAAAATAAACTCATCAATATTATACAGAGGAGTTTTGGGTTTTTTATTATTTTTATTTTATGTGTATGTGTGTATTGCCTGCATGTAGGTAAGTGCACATGTGTTGTGCAATGCCCGTGGAGGTCAGAAGAGGCCGTTGGATCCCCTGGAACTGGAGTTAAGGATGGTTGTTAGCTGCCATGTGGGTGCTGGGATTCAAACCTGGGTCTTCTGCAAGAACAGCCAGTGTTCTTAACTGCTGAGCCATCTCTCTAGCCCCGAGTTTGGGTTTTTTTATTTTGTTTTTTTTTGAGACAGGGTCCCGTGTAGCTCAAGCTGACCTCAAACTCACCATATATCTGAGGATCATCTTGAACTCCTGGCCCTCCTACCTCTAATTCCCAAGTTCTGGGATTATAGGCATGTACCACCACCACACTTGGCTGTAAATTATTTTCTTTTTTGTTTACCATTTTAATCATGAAGGATGTGTTTTCAAAGAATAAAAGGCAACAAGAGGACCATGCTAACTACCCAGCTTGGAGCAAGGAGAGGGGCATCCTGTCTCTAAAGCAGCAGCTCATTTTCTCCCTAGTAAATTTGCATTACGAAAATGGAGACAGAGAAGGTTGCTGATGTTTCCATCAGGAAAAGAGCACTGGGAGTCCACGGGCTCTGCACTAACCCCTCCCGAGCGGAAGCCCCTGCAGAACAGACGAGAGCCAGCGGCAGGCGGTGCGTCCTTTGCTACGGATGCAGCAAGAGGAGGGAAAGTTCGCTGCAAGAGAAAAAGAAGAAAGAGTTGGAAGAAGAAAAGGCCCCAGATTGTAATAAAAGTCCTGAAGTTGATGGCATGTTTGGGCCAGAAATAGCAGCTCAGTGCCTGGGCCGTGTTACACACGATAGAGACTTTAACCAGCTAGTTAACCCACGCTAGTCTAGGGTGTGCTAGCTACGGCATGCACCAGCAATGACAGCGAGGGGTGGGAAAGAAGCAGCTTTCTGACACAAACCCCACACGCTCACCTGTCCCTTCAGGAGCATTCTCCAGTTTTCAAGTGTCATGGAAATGACCCAACTATCCCTTCGCCTCTAGGGTGGACGTGCCCTGAACTGACCCTGAGCTCTTGACCAACACACACAGGCACCGACCAGGTCTCCCAGCAGGTTTTACATCAGACATCTCCCCAGAGGCTACCTTGGAAGCAGCCATCCAGAAGGCCGGTGACAGGGAAGCTACACGGTCAGGGCAGGAAAGCTGGCCAGGGTCAGAGTAAACCTCAGACTCCCAGTGGGCCTGCTCGCCTGGCCACGAGGAAAGGTTTTCAGAATGAGCTCTCTGGCCAGGCCACTCCTGCCGCTGCAGTGCTCTAAACTACCTGAAGATGCTGACAAGCAGCTGCAGGGTGATGTGCTGGATCTTGCAGTTGAGCATCTGCTGCCAGGCTCTGTGGCGGGCACGGCCCTCATTCAGGTCTGTGCTGGAGCTGAGGTGAGCGAGGTGTAGCTCAGGGTGCAGCTGGAGGCTCTGGATTCTGAAAGAAAACACACTAAGCTATAGTACATGAAGGTGACCTTCAGAAGGTAGCCAGGTAGTTTAGGGTACTGGGTTCCTGTCAACGACTTGGAAAGGCATTAAAAATCCAGGGCTCTGGGACTGGAGAGATGGCTCAGTGGTTAAGAACACTGGCTGCTCTTGCAGAGGACCCAGGTTCAATTTCCACACTCACATGACGGCTAACAACCGTCTAAGACTCCAGTTACAGGGAACTCCAACACCCTCTTCTGACATCCTCGGGGACTACCTGACAGGGGTCCACACAGGCAATATACTCATATACATGAAATAAGAATAATAAATAAAGCCGGGCATGGTGGCGCATGTCTTTAATCCCAGCACTCAGGAGGCAAAGGCAAGTGGATCTCTGTGAGTTCAAGGTCAGCCCTGGTCTACATAGTGAGTTCCAGGCCAGCTGGGGCTATATGGAGACACTGTCAAAAAATAATAATAATAATAATTAATAATAATAATAATAAATAAGTAAAATTTTAAAAAAATCAAGGAATAGCAAAGCTCATTCACCTCTAGACAGCACCACATGAAGGTCTTGCTTTGGACCCAGGCCTACCTATCAGGAGCAGGCACCTTCCAGCACGCAAGGCACTTCCCTCCTTTTTAGGTCCCTTCTGGTCAGGGTTGCTAGGAGGTCAGCTCATAGCTGCTGCCCTTCGGCATCCCCTGCCCACACAGGTTCGGAAGCCCCTCTGTGTACCACTGTACACGCCCTGGATGTCAATGCTCTTGGCCCAGCAGGGGATGGCCACTGGCTCATCTGAAGGTCCTCATGCAGAATAAGGGACTCACCCAGAGCCACCACAAAGGCTGGAGCCCGGCCTTCCCAACATCACTCTAGTCTAGACTTTGAGAGAAACTTTGGCGGGCTGGGGACGTAGCCCTGGATTCAATCCCCAGCTCTGCAAGTAAACAAAGCTCATCTGACAGGAGCTCTGTACACCCGCGAACAAATCCACAGGGTGGGCTGGTTTGGGTTTGTCAGACAGGGTCTTCCTGTAGTCCCAGCTGCCTGGAACTTGCTTATGTAAACCAGGCCAGCCTTGACCTGACTGAGAACCACCTGGTGCCAAATCTGCAGTTTTAATCACGCACTTGTTCCCTGTGTATCCACTGTGGGCCATGCACGGTTCTAAGTGTGGACCAGGCAAAGGCCCCACTGCATGGAGCTTGCACCAGAGTTGGAGGGAACAGAAAACAGACAAGTCAGCCTCAGAACAGATGATGAAGACAGAGACTCAATGATGGATGCTGGGGATGCGGGAAATGGATGATGGATACAGGAGGGGAGTGTTCCCAGGAAACAGCTATGGACCTGCCCTGTGAAGGCAAGACACATGGCAGTGGAAGACTGTGGGGATGCAGCGGAGGAGAGGCTCCTGGATGCCCAAGGTCCTGAGCACGGTGAGCTTGCTGGGGCCCAGTGTGACTCAAGACTATCTGTGGACTCGGGAGCCAGCACAGGCTTGGGTGGGGCTTTGCACTCTCTCCTAACACGTTAAGAAGCCGCTCTGGAGCGGGCGTTCCCAGTCCTGGCTGACCTGACCTGTCCGTGTATGTTGATGCCAAACTGACTTTTACCAGGCAGAACCCAGAACAGGACACAGGGACGGAACATCAGCAGCTCCCCCGCACAGAGCACACGAGGGTGCTGCCTGTAACGGTGGTGTCTTCCCGAGCCTTCCGTGTGGGGACTGTTGGAGGAGAAGCTGCTCGGTCTCCCCAGAATCTAGTCCTTCCCTCCCGACTCACACACTGAGCCAGCACAGCTGAGCTTGGGGCTCCTTGTCCCTGACCTCAGAAGGGTTGGACAGTGGCAAACGAACACTTTCTCAGCAATGTGACGAGACAGAAGACAAGGGAGCAGCATGCCTGAGGGCCTCTAAGGGGGTCTGAGCAGCAGAGACCGCTACCCTGCGTCCCTCTGGCCAGACACCTGTATACAGATGTGCTCTGCCCTTGAAGATAGCTGAGGAGCCGCCACCATGGCCTGGATCAGGGCTTAGAGGCACATAGACCATCAGGTTTATAAAACAAAGTACCACTGCGAGTTTGTACAAGACACTCATCCCACACGGTCATTCCGGGGAGCCCTGCCACGGCGGGGCTCCAACCCCACACCCCTGCATTTGGTTTCTGAAAAGCAAGCAATGGCAAACACAGCAGACAACGAAGAAGCCAGCACTGCCGAGCCAGGGGTCTCCCTGCTTCCCAGAGGCCTGGAAGAGCCCACTCAGAAATCGCTCCCAACCTCCAGAAGGCTGCTAGGTGTCACTGTGCATGACGTGACGCCTGCCCTCGCCAGGACAGGGTAACCAGACGCCACAATGCGCCCAGCTCCTGACTTAGCAGGGACACCTTGATCTGCCCAAGGATGAGAGCCCTCCTCTAGACCACAGTGGAGACTGGAGGGTCCCCAAAGCCTCGAATACTTGTGATTTAGCACTGTGGGAGAGTTTGCTGAGCCAGCTCTAGGCCAACAAAATTTAGCAACTGAGATGAGAGAAAAGGCTCACAGGGAAGACACACGGCAGGAAGTAAGAAGGCCAACTGTGCTCGGGGGAGGGGTCACCCCCAAGGCTATCGTCCTGGACGTCACAGCATGGTGGCATTACTGTTCTGCCACCGGAGCCCAGATGCTGCTGAATCCCAGCACTCACCAGCATCCAACACATATCTAGTAAGTGACTGAATGAATGTGCTTCACAGAACACGGCACAGGACCCTGAGGCTCTAGGCACAGCATCAGGAGGCCTCCAGGGGGTGGCACAATCCCCTGACTCTATTAGGCTATAATTCATATTTAGACAAGATCAGAATAAAGACAAATCACTTTTATTGAAAATATTCACAAATAACGTCCAAACCCAAAATATATAAACCATCTGTCAACAATATGAAATTAAAAGACGGGAAAACTAGCAAACATAAGATCTGAACACATGCTCAAACACACCACTTCCCGATACCTCTGAATGAACGTCTGTGCCGGCAGAAGAGGGATGTCGGGGATGTCCATATCCTTGTCAGAGGACCTAGAGCAGGTGATGCTTCCATGGTCGATATCGATCAGGACCAAACCATCAGCTTCCTGGAAGGCAAAAGTCAATGTAAGAATCTGAATTTGCACACTTTTTGGAGGGGGGTCTCTGAAGCTACATCTCCCTATGTAGCCCCGGCTGACCTGGAACTTGCTATGTAGCCCATCCCTGGCTGGCCACACTATGCATTCGACCATAATATCAGTTGCAGTCACACAGTTGTATGACCTTCACCACTACCTGTCTCCAGAACCTTCTGTTCCCAAACAGAAACCCTGTCCCCATCATTTTTAATTCACTGTTTCTTCCTACCTTAGCCCTGGCACCCCATTCTACTTTGGGCCTCTGAATCTGACTACTCTAAGAAGCCCATGTAAGTGGGCTCCCATAGTATGCCCTGACACTTAGCAGTGTCTTGAAGGCATGTCTGGATTGCAACAGGGGTCAGAATCCCCCTTGTTCTGAAGACTGAGCAGTCCACCGTGTGGAGGGACCACGGGCCTTCTCTGAGCCAAGATGCCAAGGCATGTTGCCAATTTTCCATCAACCCTGGTACAAACACTACATGCAGTACTTCATGGCGCCCTGAGGGAACATTCCGGAACTCGACAAGTGCACCACCTGTACTCGATCCATCATCACTCAGCTGTCTAAGCATCTCTGCCACCCAGGACCCAGAACACAGGTAGGGAATGGGCTGAGTGACCGCACACAGGTGGAATTTCTGATATATGCACGTAGGTTACTCGTGATGTCTTATGTACAAGCCATGAGCATTGCACTCGACTCTGAGACTCAAGTGTCCAGAAGGGGATGCAGACGCCCTCTGAAGACGCCACTTTGCTTTTGGCTCTGCCCTCTCTCCTAGGCAACATATGAAATATACAAATACGGTTTCCTCTTGGCCCACGTCTGACAGGGCAAACACACGTCCTCTGGCCAAGCACAGCATCATCTTGGGTCATGCCAGGTGTGTGTAGGAGATGCCTTATTTAGAGGGCTACAAGGACCCTCCTAGCTCCCTCCTACTGATCCTGTCACCAGCCACAGGAAACAAAACACCCAAACAAACCCAAACCACTGTTCCTGGAATCTTCCAGAACACATAAATCACCAAGCAAGTTTCCTATCAGGCTGCTGACCAGAATTGCTAAGTATACCAAAGAGTCTTCCTGCCTGAAGAGCCCAGACACGGTGACTTTTCCTTAGTCACTAAAAGAAGAAACAGTTTTAAACTTCAGAGCACTGCCTATTCTTTCTGGTTCTTAAGGCACACAGGGTGAGGTTTTTCCATTCCTAATCCTCCCTTGGAGGTCTGAATGGCCTTTTCCTAAGCTGTTTTCTCCCTGGTCAATCACTGGCTTTGGCAAGAACACAGAAGGCTGCCTGCCCCTTCCAGAGCTGTACGCCCGCCTTTCTGGGCACGGGGCAACACTGGTAGAGATTCCTTTAAAGTCCAGGAAACGGTGCTGGAGGACAAGGACTCTGAAACAGGCTGACATTAGATGGCCAGGGAGTGTGAGGGACACCAGCTGTCTACTGTATCCCCCTCTTTGTCTACACAAAAAATGCTCAAAACAAAAAGTTAAAGGTAAGCCAGGCATGGTGGTGCAACTTTAATGCCAGCACTCGGGAGGCAGAGGCAAGTGGATCTGTGAATTTGAGGCCAGCCTCACATCATGAGTTCCAGGCCAGCTGTCTCAAAAACAAACAGAGATAAATTAGGCATTGGTAGTGCATATAATCCCATAACTCTGGAGGGATAAGCAGGAGGATCGTAGGTTCAAGGCCAGCCTGGGCTACAACAGTAAGTTCTGGAGCAAGGCTCTGTCTCAAACACACACAGACACACACACAGAGACACACACAGAGACACACACACAGACACAAACACACAGACACACACATACACACACAGACACACACACACACACATACACAGACACACACACATACACAGACACACACACAAACACACACAAGTGGGGCAGGGAGATGGCTCAGTTAAAGGCACTGCAGTGCAGGTCTGACAACCTTAAACGCTATGCTACATACCCTGAAGAACTCCCAGCAAGACACTGGGTACCATCGCTCACTGGAAAATAAATGCACCCAGTGACAGTGAGGACGTCCGTGGAGAAACAAGACCGCTACACTCTCAACTCTTGCAACAGCTGCCCTGGGCAAGGCCAGCAGCACCTCAGGTGGCGAGGGTACAGCTGACTCAGCACTCTGCTGGACTGTATCCCCAAGGGAAAGGAAACCTAGCCTCACACAAGACCTCGTCCGCCATGGCCGTGCTCACCACAACCATGGGCAGCAACAATCCCAATGTCTGTCAGCGACCTCCAAGTCGACAGCTGACAGTCAATGTACCAAGATGTGCATGATGGACTCCTACTCCACAACAAAGTTCTGACATGCCCCAAGTGGGTGAACTCTGCGAACACGCCACTGAGTGAAAGAGGTCAGGCACAGAGGCCCGTGTGCTACAGGATCCCACTTGTGTGAGACTCTTAGAACACACAAATCCACAGACACCCGGAGGAGCCTCACTAGGGCGCGGGGAAGGACTAGACGAGTAATGTATTGCTGCTTCCTTTGTGGGATGACAAACATGTCCAAACGAACAGCGATAGCTGCAAAACCCTAAAATAGACTCAGATTCAGTGGACTGGACATTTTAATCAGGACATATACATTGTATCTCAATAAAGGTTTGTTTTCGTGTTTTGAGAGAAGGTTCCCTTTGTAGCTCAAGCTGGCCTGGAACTTACTGTATAGCCCAGGCTGGCTTTGAACTTCGAGCAATCTTCCTACCTCAGCTTCCCAAACGCACCTCACCTGGCCAAAACGTATCTTTTTTTTGTTTGTTTTTTGAGACAGGGTCTTACTAGGTAGCCCTGTCTGGCCTCAAGCTCACTACAGAGACCAGGCTGGCCTGGAACTCCCTGAGATCCACCTCCCTCTACCTCCCATGTGCTAGGATTACCTGCCAAGTGCTAGGATCAAAGTATGTGCTACCTAGGCAAGCTTTAAGGTATCTTTAAAATCTAGCCAGACGTGGTGATGCACGCCTTTAATCCCAGGACTAGGAAGGCAGAGGCAGGCAGATCTCTGAGTTCCAGGTCATCTGGGGCGATAGGGAGACCCTGTATCAAAAGACAAAAATAAGGGGACAGGAGAGATTCTCAGCAGTTAAGAGCACCAGCTGCTCTTGTGGAGGGCCCAAGTTTGGTTCCCAGCACACACATGGCAGCTAACAACTGTCTGTAACTCCAGTTCCAGGAGACCCAACTCCTTCTTCTGACCTCCGTGGGTACTGTATGACACAGGTACACTTACATACATGCAGGCAATACACTCATAGACATAAAATAAAAATAATAAATAAAATATTCTTTTTTTAAAAGACACAAAAAAAACCCACCCTGCATACTGCTTGCTAGCCTCATCACAAGATCTGTCCTGAATCCATGACAGATCACCATGTAAATACGCACCACAGCTAAGCAGAGTGATGCACACCTGGAACTGCAGCACTCAGGAGGTAAAGGCAGGAGGATTGCCGAGAGATTAAGGTCATCTTGAGCTACACAGCGAGTTCCAGGCCAACCTGGGCAATAATGTGAGACTGTCACAGCAAAGAACTGTCAGCCCCACTTCAGCACAGTGACCCTCTATAAGCACCTACAGCACACCAGGTGCTGTTCTATGTCCTGCTTGGTCTTCCCTGTAGCAGCAAGGTTGGCACATGTGCTGTCCTTAGAAAGCTAGGACAAGAAGGGGTTCCGTGTCAACACACATTAGTCACAAACAGTCTGGCAGACAGCCAGACCCAGGATGGGCTCACACTGAGCAGCCTGCTGCATAGCCTTGAGTTTTACTGTAGGGCCCTCGCGGGAGCAAACCACAATGGAGGGATTTAAAACAAGAAAGTGGAGCACGCCGCCACCTACAGGCCAGCCGTGTGCCAGGAACCACACGGGGTACACAGCTGCCTCAGCATGGAGTCCTTCCCACAAGGACATGCACCTGCCTCGCCTCACAGAAAAGGAAACTGGGGATCAGAAACACATGCACGTCACATAGCTCCCAGAGTGCAAGAGCCTAAAGACAGCCATGGTGCTCTCGTCTCACTGCAAGTACTGTCTTCCTGGCAGTGCTGGGATGGACCCGGGGCCTGTGTGTCTGACACATAAGAGCACTTCTGAATGCACGTCCCACTTGCCTTGCAATGGATTTGCATGAGTTTAATGCTCCAATTCAAAGTTCTCCACCTAACCTTGTTGACTTCTTCAAAGTGGTCGAGATGGCAGCCCATAAGGAAAGACGTGGGAGCCATGACGAAGTCCAGCATCTGGCCCGACAGGATGGGCACGAAGGTGTGCTGCCACTGCAGTGGGTGGAGATAGACCATGAAGCACTCCGCGACGAGTGTCAGCAGGGCCCAGTCTGAGGAGAAGAACACGATGCGCTGTTCTGTCAAAATGCAGGTCAGGATCTGGGGGAGCAACAGCATCATTTGTAAGCTTCCAGCCAGGCAGAGGAACCTCAATACACTTCTACACTGCTCCCCAGACACAAAGAACCAGAGGCAGCTTTTAGCCCTTTCTACTCCAAAACCAAAGTCACTTAGACCCCACACAGTGCTGCTCACGGACACCATGTGTCACTGCACATGTCGACTCTAAGCGCAAAGCTCAACTATTTTGGAATACATGGATTCCTGGTTCTACATCTTTTTTTTTTTTTCAGTACTGGGAACAAACCCAGAGGATCGTGCATGCTAACAAATGCGCCACCACTGGGCTATGCCTGCAGTCTAAACATACCTAATGAGCCACACTTCTAGTACCCCTCTGTGCCGATCAGCCTATGTTGCCCCAGTGACCACACACCTAGTGACCACACACCTAGTGACCACACACCTGCAACACCTTTTCAGGACTAAAGCACAGCAGGGGCAGGTGAAGATCCAAGTCGATGATGGGGCTCTCAGGGTCCGCTCGAGAGGGAAATACCACCTGCAGCGGCTTCATGTTAAATATCTAGGAAGACCAAGAGCCACAGTTAGTTCAGAGAGCCAAAATGCACCCACATTCACTATTTGGGCACCAAAGGCATCTGCGTTAGACATGGCTGTGGGAGTGGGGGATGGCTCAGGCGGTAAAGCACTTGCCATGCAAGCATGATGACCCCAGTTTAATAACCACATACAAAGCCTAGTGTGGTGACATGTGGCTAGGTAGAGATAGGAGGATCCCTGGAGCTCGATGGCCGCCAGCCTAACCACACCAGAGAGCCCTAGGTCTCAGGGACAGATCCTAGATCAAAAAGGATTTGGGGGAGCTGGAGAGATGGCTCAGCGGTTAAGAGCACTGACTGCTCTTGCAGAGGCTGGGCTTGATTCCCAGTCCCCCATGGCGGTTAAGAACTGTCCTTAACTCCAGTTCCAGGGGAATCCAACACCCTCTTCTGACCTCTGCGGCACTGCACAACATGGGTGCACTCACATACATGCAGACAATACACTTGAACACATAAAATAAAAATAATATTTTTTTAAAAAAAGGATTTGGAAGGCTCCTGAGGGATGACATCTCAAGTTGTCCTCCTGCCCCATTCACTGGCATGAGCACACACATGTGCACACACACATACACCTGAACATATATGATATGAACATGCATATACACTGCATTGAAAAAAAGAAAAGAAATCACTGAGGAAGGCTCCTGCCCCCATCCTGCTGCCATCACAGAGGAACAGGACGGCCTAAGGACAGTCATGCACAAAGTCAGTCCTCCATGACTTGCTGCTGGGGACTGAACTCAGGCCTTGCACATGCTAGGAAAGTGCTCTACCACTGAGCCACATCTCCAGTCCGTGAATGGCTTTTTTTTAAAGGGAAGTTCTCAGGTAACCCAGGCTGGACTGGAACTCAAACCAGGCAGATAGGCTGAATGAGGCTCATGAATAGTATTGGCCTAGCATACCCATGGTTCCAGGTACTCAGTACCACAGAAAAAAAGAATTAAAAAAGAAAAAGATAGACCTGGTGGCTCAAGCTATAGTCCCAGCTGCTTGGAAGGCTAAGGCCAGCCTGGGCTACATAGTGAGTTCAAAGCTAGCTTGTGCAACTTAGTAAGACCTTATCTTAAATAAAAACTCAAAAGCAGCTGTGGGTGTAGCTCAGTGGTGGAATGTTTGCCTAGCATGTTTAAGGCCCAGGTTGGATTCCTAGTACCACAAAAAAATGGAAAAATAAATACAATCTTGATTCATCTACATGAACAACAAAATCCTTTTTATGCAAATAGAATAGAATGGAGTCAAATTCTCCAGGCTACGGCAGTGTAGTTAACTGTGACGTACAAAGGCTGGGAGTAGCTCAGTGGTAAAGTGCCTGCCAGCTAGCATGGGGACATGAGTTCAATCCCCCGCACCCATGAAAGGCCAGTGTGGCTGTCACCCCAGCCCTGGGCTGGGGAGGCAGGAGGCAGGTGGACAAACTCGCCAGCCGGCCAGCCAAATGGCAAACTGGGTTCAGTGAAAGACTGCCTCAAAAAATGAAGTAGGGAGTGATAGAGAAAGACACCTGCCATCAACCTCTGGCCTCCACATGCACACACTCACATACATGCACGCACACACATGCACACACTCACATACATGCACGCATACACATGCACACATACACGCATGTACAAAATCAATAAACTAATTAATAAGCACAAAGTGTGTGTGGAAGCCTCAACATTTCAAAAAATGCACGAGCCAGCCAGCTATCTACATAAACAGAACACAAAAGCAGGTGCCAAGCCCTACTCATCACTGCCCACCTGGGGACCCTCAGGTCCCCACACCAGACCTGGCAGGTGTGAGATGGAGAAGAGGAAGGCTTTTGGAAAACACTTGCCAAATTTCAGGCAGGTGGTCCCCACTCCAAAGGGAACAGTGCTGAACGGGGACAGGGGACACAGAGGAAGAGATAAGTGGGCCTCTGCCACTGTCCTCCCTGGGCTGTGGTCCTTCATCCTACACATTACACAGGCACACCTGACCAGCCTGGAAATAACAGAAACCCCCGCATCCAGGAGCAGCATCCACCATCCAAAACACGGGAATGACGGCTCATGCCTGCTGCCTGCGCCTTCTCCAGGCTGACGTTATGTGGCGGTGGGGTCAGCCCCACCTCGGATGAAAGCCCTGACCTACACAGACTCTCAGATTCCTTCAAAATGAGAAAGTCCTCATTTGGCCCTAACAAAGGGGACTTCTGAGAATGGCTCCCAGTGACAGAGTCCACTAGGCCAGAGCCCATTTAGCGGCCCACTTCCCTCATCCATTCCCTGTATGGCTGTGACCCTGTACAGGCAGCAGGGAACAGGCTCGTATTCAGGCTGAGTCCAGTGGAGAAGATGGGCATTAAACACACTCCAGGTCAGAGGACCTACTCCAGACAACACTGTGCATAGCAGGAGGGCAGTCAATGGGAGACAGATGGGGGAGAATTCAGGAGGTCACAGGAGACGGCCATAGACACAGAAGAAGGAATCCTGGGAGGAACATGTGCAAGAGCCCTGTGGCAGCACCTGATGGACTGCGGGGAGTACGGCAAGGGGGACGAGAGTGAGCAGGACTGAAAGGCACAGACAGCAGAGCTGGGGGACGCAGAGCAGGGCTGAAGACGTGCGTACAGAACAGAGCTAGACGCTGCACTGCGGTCTGTGGCCACCGAGCAGAGGACCTGTGGGAAGTGGAGAGCAAACCGGCATCACGGTGGGAGGGGCTGGTCTTCGGGAATGGGCGGGGGCAGTGGCACGGTCAAATGGGAAATAAACATGAAAGCTGTCGGGTCTGGCGTGAGTGATGGCTGAGCTCAGCTCGGGGAGGAAGGAAAGAGGGCAGGCGCCACCTCAGGAAACTGGCCACAGGAAAGGAGGTGGAGAAGGCAGACAGGCAACCAGGAGCCGAGACACAGGTGCCACTGTGCACGCCACACAGGTATCACTGATGTCACACAGTCACTCTCCCTGAACTGGCTCTGCATCCAGGTTGCTCTGCGGACCGAGCTAGCCGGTCCTGGTGAGCACAGTGGGCTTGAAGGAAACAAACAAATGCTTCAATCATCTCCCTGTACACACTGTCAGCAAGAAAACGTCAGTCATAACAGCAAGCATCCTAAATCAGAAAACTCAAAATCCAAAAGCCTCCAAAGTCTAAAACGTTCTGAGCACCAACACAAAGACACGGAAAATTCCACACCAACCTCATGGGACAGGTCACAATCAGAATGCAGGTGCTCTAAAAACATTGAATAAAGTCCTGCATGGTAGCCCATGCCTTTAATCCCAGCACTTGGAGGCAGAGGTAGACAAATCTCTGTGAGTTCAAGGCCAGCCTGGTCTACATAGTGAGTTTCAGTCCAGTTGGGGCTGCAGGGAGACCCTGTGTCAAACAATCAAACAAACAAAAAAACATTGAATAAAATTCCTTTCAGCTTGGGCCAGAGAGATGGCTCAGGCTCACAACCGAAAGACTCCTTTAGGCCTATGCAGGTAAAGCATGCATGAAACAGAGGGAATTTTATGTTTACACTCGAGTCCCATCCCTAAGGTAGCTTCTTATGTAGATGCAAATATTCCAAAATTTGAAAAATTCTGAACCCCAAAAGGGCTCTGGTTCCCAGCACTTCAGGGACAGGATCCTCAGCCTGCACCCCATCATCACTGTGTTCCCCTCGAAGGTTCCTAGGGTGGAAGTGAAGTAGCTGGGACCACTGGCAGGACCCTCCACTTCCTGGACTGCTGGATTTGGAGTCATATCAAAAACACATACGTATGCGAGGCGTGGTGGCACACACCTCTACTCCCAGCACTCAGGAGGCAGAGGCAGGCGGATCTCTGAGTTCGAGGCCAGCTGGTCTACATAGTGAGTTCCAGGACAGCTGGGGCTACAGGGAGACCCTGTCTCGAAATATAAATAAATAAATAAATAAATAAATAAATAAATACTGCACATATCCAAGCCAGGATCACATGGTGCCTGATAAAGAAAGCTTACCTTCCTTTTTTTTTTAATTTATTTTTCTTGTATGTGTATGAGTGTTATGCCTGCATGTATGTAAGCGCACCCATGTCATGCAATGCCTGCAAAGTCAGAAAAGGGTGTTGGATGCCCTGGAACTGGAGTTACAGTTGTTAACAGCCATGTGGGGGCTGCGAATTGAACCTGAGTCCCCTGCAAGAGCAGCCAGTGTTCTTAACCACTGAGCCATCTCTCCAGTCCCCAAAACTTACTTTTCAATAGTCAATAACAAAAAATGTAAAAGACCAAGAGAAGTAAGTAGAACCTTCCAGAAGAGGCTGATAAAGTAAAACTGGAGGTTCACTGAACATTCAAGATGCTGAAGAGGTGTCTTGTTAGTTTTTGTTTTGTTTTTTGAGACAGGGTCTGCTACAGGGCCCAGGGTAGCCTCACACTCATGATCCTCCTGCTTCTGCCTCTCAGTGCTGGGATTACAGGCCTGTGCCAGTATGCCTGGCTAACAAGTGTCTGGTTTGTTTGTTTAATATTTTATTTACTATTTTTATGTGCATGCATGCATTGCCTGCATGTAGGTAAGTGCACCTGTGCCATGTGATGCCCACCGAGGTCAGAAGAGGCTGTCGGATCACCTGGAACTTGAGTCACGACAGGTGTTAGTTGCCACGTGGGTGCTGGGATTCGAACACAGGTCTTCTGCAAGAACAGCCAGTGTTCTTAACTGCTGAGCCATCTCTCCAGCCCATTTGTTTGGTTTTTAAGACAGGGTCCCATATATCCCAGACTGGCTTCAAACTTGCTGCGTAGCCAAGGATGACCTTAACGTTCTGATCCTCCTGCCCCCACCTCCCAAGTGCTGGGAATACAGCCATGCAGTTTACACAGTGCTGGGAATAGAACCCAGGACTTTGTGCAGCAGTGCATGCCGGTAATCCCAGAACTCTGGCAGTGGAGGCAGGAGCAAGTTCGCAGCCAGCCTGGTCTCCTTGAGACCCTGACCCCAAAACCGAAAAAAACAAACACAGAACAGAAAAGGGAACGCACTGTGGCTAAAGAGGTCAGAAAGCGCTGGGCCGAGCCAGTTCACACAGGTCGGCAGTCTGATCCGATGCTCAACAAAAGGGGCATGCTGAGGGGTCAGTGCAGGCCGTCACTCCAACTTGACCTCTGTCTGTGATGGTTTCAATGTGGAATGTTCCCCACAGGCTCCTGTGTTTGGACGCCTCATCCCCATTTGGTGGTGCTATCTGGGGAGGCTGTGGAACCTTTAAGAGGTGAGGCCTGGCTGACTGAAGTGGGCTGACTGAGGTGGGCCTTTGACTGCCATTGCCTAGGCCTGGTTCCCTCTAGTCTCTGCTTCCTGATCCACCAAGACTCCAGGCCTTCCGGAGGCCTTCCGCAGCAGGATGGCTGATGGTCCCTGAAACCTCACCAAAGCAAACCCTCCCTCCTCAAGCTGTTTCTGACAGGCATTTCATTCAGGCCATGAGAAAAGTGACTGTGCTGGGTGCTTTAGTGTCAACTTGACACACCTGGGTTGAAGGAGCCTCAACTGGGGAATTGACTCCATAGGACTGGCTGTGGCCATGTCTGTGGGGCATCTTCTTGATTGTTGAGTGATGTGGGAGGGCCCAGCCCACTGTGGGTGGTGCCACCCCTGGGCAGGTGGGCCTGTGTTGCATAAGAAAGCAGGCTGAGCAGGGGCCAGGGGAGCAAGCCAGTAAACAGCGTTCCTCCATGGCCTGTGCTCCAGCTCCAGCCTCCAGGTTCCTGCCCTGAGTTCCTACCTTGGGGTCCCTCAGTGATGAACCCCAGTTGTAACACAGTCCTCGTGACCCAGGAGATGTAAGCCAAATAAACCCTTTCCTCCCCAAGTTGGTACTGGTCAGAGTGTTCTGTCACAGCAATGGAGAAGCAAACAGAACAGTGACTAACACAGCTACACTATTATGTAGCAGGTCCTGAAGACACTAGTGACATTTCTTGGAATGGAACCCAGCCGGGGAAATATCTGTTAAACAGCACAGTGGCTCTTCGAAGAACAGAAAACATAAGGCTGATTACTTTTCATCAATCACACTGCACAGAGGAGACCAACGCACTGAACACAGTACCCAGACTTCACGAAAAGTGAAATGAAAGGAATGCTTCAAATTTAAGCAATCAGGACTTCCTTAGCCTAAAAGATTGAGTTCTCTATGCATTTTCTGAACAGTAGGAAATGACCTCATGAGTTAATACTAAACCACCACATTACATATTACCAGCCCGGTTGATCATACACCACTCAGCATAACTCAAGTCTGCATAAACTTTTCTTCCTTCAGAAGTAAATGTGCACAATGCTTCCATGAGGCCCTCCAGAGGCATAACATAAACACAGCTGAAACTTGAAACAATTTAAAACATTCCGACTATCTCCAACATATCACTTTTACTATCTACAAAGAAAACCCAAGTACAATTCCAGATTTAATTTACCAAGTGGAGCGGACCAGGCGGTGGACTAGGTATTAACGACAGTCTTGCAGCGAAATCTTTTATGTGATTGTCAACTTCAAAATCCTTACAGAGCTTCAAGTGCGTCAATAAACTGAAATAAAAACAAATAAAGTCACAAACTAAAACATCACTCTGACCGTCGCCTTAATGACGTTTTGGTTTTTGCTGTTTTTCAGTCCAGGATATGGAACTCAGGCAGCACACGCTGGTTAAATGTTCTTGAGCTCAGCTCCACCCACAGCCGATCCCCAGCATTCCTAACCAAGCTGAACCCACCCATGTATGTTTCCGTTCCATAAGGAATGATAGATAAATCTTGAAAGAAAATGCTTGAGGAAGTTTCCAAACCCATTCAAACTTCTGAAGTATACGGCCTTAAAATATAAGGGGTAGTTGTGTGTGATGTATCACCCGTAATCCCAGCACTCAGGCTGAGGCAGGAAGATCCTGAGTTTGAAGTAAGACTGGGCTACATAGAGAGACTGTTTCAAAAAACAATAAATCAATAAATAGCAAATAAAATAAAACAGGTAAGCGGCAGCTTCGGACAGAGGGATGGGGAAGTGACTGAAGGGAAGGAGGGAGTTCAAAGAATGAAAACATCCCTTCCTCGAGGGCACATTTACCAAAATGTATCTGATCTGATGCTGAAATGGGTGTTTATTGCAATACATCTACTACACCTTAATAAATCTGATCTTTGGAAGTCTGCATGTGGAAGTGCAGCAACCCCCAGTATCCAAGGGGTTCAAGACTCCTGCACATGCTCAGGTTCCCTATTCAGCACCCACACGAGCCTCCAATGTGCTTTAAAGTATCTGTAGTTGACTTGTAATGCCTGATTCTGTGTGGAGCTGTGAAGGCAGCCGGTATACTGAACTGTTTGGGGAAAAAGAAGTCTATACATGTAATGTATAGATTTTCTTCAAGTATTCTGGATATGTGGTGCCTGTGAACATTGAACCTGCAGATTGGAAGGTGACTGTCCAGACAACAGCCACATCCTCAGAAGGGCAGGTGCTAGGAGTACCTTTCTTCAAGAGCCTCAGGAACAAACAATCCAGCGCATATTCTAACCAACACACTACACTGATTCGCTTCCTTGTTTGCTCATTCAATACCTATTGAGGTGCTGGGCCCAAGAGGGACGTCGCACCAAGAGAGAAAGTAACCACACCTGAGAAACCAGACAAGAGCCCAGAGGTCATGGCTCAGTGAGGGTCTATGGTACCAAGAGAACGCCCCTGGGGTCCCTCCTGGTCAAGCAGCCCCCAGGAAGCACAGCCAGTTATCACTCTCTACCTGGTGGGACTAGACACATCTCCCCAGCTCGGTGCAAGACAACCTCCACTCTAACCACTTGTGTTTAACTTAACCAAAAAAACTATCCACAAGGCTTATGTCAGGAGGTGGATATAATCCAATATTCCTCCATATTTCCATTTATTATAAAAATGTAGTATCAAGGTAAAATAAAGCTGCTTATATTCTACTTTCCCCAAACCCGGACATATTCCCTCTAATGTGTGTCCGCAAAGCCTGTTAACATAACACATTTTGGCTACTTGTTTGTTGTCTGATGCAGGGTCACCTGTAGCCCAGGATGGCCTTAAACTTGCTATTTACCCAAGGATGACCTTGAACTCCTGATCCTCCAGCCAGGAGGGCTGGGGTGACAGGTGTGCACCACCACTCCCAGCTCCCACACGTCTGCCATTCTCCCTTCCCTGGCTGTTTTCTACATCCAACAGCACAGCAATGACCACGGCAGGAGAGGACTCGGGACACAGCAGTGACCTCTTATGTTACATGTCTGCACTGGCACCCAGAGGAAGGAGTGCCGCCAATCACAGGCGATGAGCCAGCCGCAGAAGAGGCACCAAGAAGCAGCCCAAGAAGGTGGAGAGAGCACACCTTCCAGTTGTCTCCAAGGGAGCACCGGTCCTCAGCCACGTACTTCCACCAGCAAGGGGGAGGGAACAGGTGGGAGGGAGACAGACAGAGCTCACAGCCTCTAACTACAGGCATCCATCCATCCAGCCCCACCAGGCGCCATTCTGGTCTTTCAGAAATTCTTTTTTTTTAATATTATATTTATTATTTTTATTTTATGTGTATGAGTGTATTGCCTGCGTGTGTGTAAGTGCACCCATGTCATGCAACGCCTGCAGAGGTCATATGAGGGCATCAGATCCCCTGGAACTGAAGTTATGGACAGTTGTTAGCCACCATGTGGATGCTAGGAATTGAACCCGGATCCTCTGCAAGAACAGCCAGTGTATTAACCACTGACCTCTCCAGCCCTCAGAAATTCTTTTCTGTTCTCAGAATTCCTGCTCAGTAGCAGCAGAAATAGATGTGAACGCTGCCCAGATTCTGCGCAGCTGGGAACATCTCTAAACACACCCAGCAAACAGCCAATCCTCTCAGCTCACAAGGCCCAGAGTGTCTCTCGATATTTGTCTCTTTTTATTTTTACTTTATTTGCTTATTATTTTGTTGTTGTTTTTGAAATAGGTTCTTACTCTGTAGCCTAGGCTGGCCTGGAACTCACTATGTAGAGCAGGCAGACCTCAAATTTACAGCAATTCCCTCCCAAGTACTGGGATTAAAGGCATCCACTGCCACACCCAGTTATGTCTCTTTTTGAAAAATAAACAAAACTGAAGCCCTCAGTGCTGCCTCATTCTCCTGCCATCCTGAGTCCACGTGGCACTGACAGAGGCCCCAGGGTCTCCACAGGGCTTCTGGGCCCACCAGACCTAGCTCTTGGTGACAACTCCAGGGGCCCCAGCTCACCAGGAAAGGCAGTCCTTGAGAGAGTTGTAGTAGGGGAACCGGGACACCACGCACACTGCGAAGGGAACGAAGCGGCCCGCAGAGCTCACAGTGGGCTCCTGGTGGGTCCTGCCATTGTAGAAACAGTACTCGTCCTAAACAAAAGCAACGAGGACAGGTCACCTCCTGTGCTGGTGGCGCTGCACACTGTAGTACAGGAACAACAGGAGGGGAGGGGCCACCACAGCCCCAGCCTTCCCATCCACACAGACAGGCCCTACAGTGCCCACCACACAGCATTGGGCTTCTAGGGTGAGGAAGCCTGTGACTGCCCTGGAGACCTCCAGCCTTGGGGTGAACAAGGACACGCGGCTAGAACACAAACATGCACAGGACATGGCTCTTAGTGACCACAGGCTCGGCTTCAAAAGGACCAGCACCAGATAGTTCCATTTAGAGCAATGTTCAGAAGACAAATCCAGAGACAAAAAGCAGCGGAGTGGTTGCAAGGACTGGGGGAGCAAAGCGGGCAGTGAGAGCTGGGTAAGTGTGGGGCTGGGAGGTGAGAATGTTTGGAACTGGACAGTGGTTGCACACACACCATGGCTGAATCACATGCGTTAAAATGGCCGAGGTGGTGACTGCCTGTGTGTTCCACCACAGAACAGGGCCCACCACAAGCACAAAGGACAGCCACAGATCTACCTACGTGCAGGGGTCGGTAGTACTGGGCCACCACACCAAAGGTTCTGTTTCCACAGACATCTGTGAGCACGAGGAAATGCACATAATCGTCCTTTGGTTCTGAGGCCACACACACACCCCCTGCAGGCAGAACAGAAAAGGAAACCCTGTTATGGGGGCCTCAGCCTACATCGATTGCCTCCACTCGCCACGCCTCGAGCCAACTTTGTCCTAGGGTACAGAGCACACCTCACCACTTACCTACTAGTACTCTGATACTTTGGGTCCTGTTACAGCCAGCTCCCTACCCCTAAACATCCCCAACCTGCACCTTCTTTGTAGTCCCTCCCCTGGAAACATGTGGTGAAGTAGCAAGGACACAGGGTCATCCAGGACCATGCTTCTGGGCACAGCAGACTGACAAGCATCTGTTTTCTGGTTATGACTCCTGCAGCCAGGAAAGGGCATGGGCTCTTGCGGGAGCTAGAAACAGGACCTGAGCCCAGTCCTTGGGCTGAGTTTGCCACACCAGCCATTTAAAACCGGCAGAGACTGGGGCTGGAGAGATGGCTCCACAGTTAAGAACACTGGCTGTTCTTGCAGAAGACCCGGGTTTGAATCCCAGCACCCACATGGCAGCTGACAACTGTCTGTAACTCCAGTTCCAGGGAATCCGACAGCCTCTTCTGTCTTCTGCAGCACTGCACGACATGGGTGCACTTACCTACATGCAGGCAATACATGCATACACATAAAAATAATAAATATTACAAAAAAGAAAGAAAGAAAGAAAGAAACACAGTAGAGACATGAAGCCCAGAAACAAGAGCGTCATGGGGTGGCGCTGGTGAGCATGGGGACTGAAGGCAACCTGTGCCTGTTGTTATAATAAACAGGAAGCAGGGGACAGAAAGGGAGGTGCAGGTACCCTCTATGGGCCTCTAGCTTTAACTTCCCCAGACACAGACGATTGATTCCTTCAGGGTACAAGGAGCACACCTGCAATCCCTCTATTAGGAGGCAGAGGCAGAGGCAGGGCCAGCCTGGGCTACTGAGCAAGACTGTCTCTAGTATTGGATCACAGGATTCAATTTGGGGTTGTTTGCCTGTGTTGCTTTGTTCGTTGCTGTTTTCTGACACAGAGACAGTGGAGGGCCCACTGTCTTCGGTGTAAAGGCCTCTAGGAGCAGACCACTTGGTGAGGAGCCAGCACAAAGCCACTATAGGTCTGCCACCGCTGGCTCTTTACCTGGGAAGCACAGCTGGGGTAGGGCAAGGAGGTCCACGCCACCTGGGATGCTGATGTCCTCGGAATCGGGTCCCTTTGAGTCCCCCAGGGGGCCTTTCCAGGGCTCCGTCCGGGGCTTCTCTCTCTTCTTCCGGAAGGAGCGCCTCCTGGCTTTGCCAAGAGTGGTGCAGACTGCCCCGGTCACCTGGCCGTCCTCCTTTGTGGTGAAAGGAGGTACGAAGACAGACAGAACCTCCGGGGCAAGGGAAGAAAGGTTCTTCATTCCTCGTTTGTGAGCGACCTAAGGAGAGACAAGAGTCACTGCATGTGAGCTGGGAAACAGTTCAGTGGGTAAAGCATCTGCTGGTGTGAACCCTGGAGGGCTGATTCCCCAACACCCAAATAAAAGCTGGGCTGGCCCAGTGACCCATCTATAATCCCAGCACTTGGGGTGAAGAGACAGGGGATCCCCAGGACAAGCTGGCTATCCAGGTTAGTTGAATCAGTGAGCTACAGTGAGAGACCCTCAGTAAATAAGGTAGAAAGCAACATCAACCCCTGGCCTTCATACACATATGCACTATATACACATACATATGTGCACCCACATAGAATAACACATTAATGCAAAAAATACAAAGAGTCACTGCAGGTATCCACTCTGGTGACACCCTTCTGAGGTAGGCATCCCCTGCATGTCTCTGCCTCCCCACCACGGGCACAGGCTCCAGCAGAGGAACCTTGTCCTTTGACACTCAGGTCAGGCTACAATTCTTTTAGGAACTGCCCAGGCCTATGTTCTGGTGAATCATGTAAACCCTCAGAGCCTGGGACTTCAGCTGTGAAACAGGGACAGAAACAACTGGTCCTACGGCCCAAAGAACCAGAGTTCAGAGCTGGGTTCTGTAATCCACACAGACTTGAGTTCAAATGCTGGCTCTGCCTTGAACTGCTGGGAGCAATCTCAGAGTTTCCCTCTCCTGACTGAGTACAGCAAATATGGGGACCCATGGCCAAGTGCTCAGCCAGCAGGGTCCCCTCCCCACCACATACACACTCTGCTAGCCCTGCACCAGGTAGGGGAGGGCAAACACTGAAAAGGGCTCTCTACTCTGTCACATTGTACAAACACCTTAACTGGCACCACACCCTTTAAGCCCCCTGAGATATCGCTCATATTACATCCAATCCCTGCTGATCTGGGCAGGTGAATAGAGGGGTGGGAGAGACTTTGAAGGACACAGAGTGAAGAGACTCCTGGCCACAAGTCCCCTTGGAAGCAGTAAAAGAGGGACAGGTATTTAACCCACATTCGTTTAAACTCAAACTGGAGGGCTGGGGTGTAGCTCAGTGGCAGAGGGCGTACTTCACATACTAAAGGCCTTGAGTTCCAGGCACAGTGCTGTAAAACAAATAAACTCAAGGTACAGGAGTTGTTTAACCTCTGGTTTGTCCATTATTCCTCCCAAGGAATGAAAAGAATACTACTGAGCCTGTCATGGCGTTCCTAAGGACGATGCCCTGCGCAGTTCCTACTGTGAAGCTGGCTGAACATCTAGTGCTGCCCAGCTGGCTTCAGAGATCTCAAAGCTGAGCGCAACATACAGTCCATGAGATGGGGACGCTGGCACATCCATCTTCCCACACTCAGGGGAGCCTGACACAAGAGGATTGAGAGCTCAAGGCTAGCCAGGGAGACAGAGCAAGACTCGGGTCTCAAAAGCAGAAAACAGACCACAAGAAGTGGCTCAGACGCTCAGCTAGTTAAAGATGGACCTCAGGAGTCCCTGGATATACAGGAGATAGAACGCATGAAGTAGCCGGGCAGCAGTAGGGAAGGGCAGTCTCTGATGCCTTAGGAGCCAGGTGAGGAGGAATGCACTGTGCCAACAGCAAGGGGACCTCGACCAGCAGAAAAGGAACACTCGAGTCTTTATTTAGTAAGAGCCAAAGGATCTGCAGGGTGTGGTGGCACAGATCTGTGTTCCCAACACCTCGGAGATGGAGGCAAGAGAATCAGGAGTTCAAGGTCATCCTGGCAACATGCTGAGTTCAAGGTCAGCTGGGCTGAGGGTCTCATAAAAAAGTGACAGGTGGGGAGGATGAGATGGCTCCGCAGGAAAGGGCGCTTACTGCTAAGCCTGAAAACCTGAGCTCCGTCCCCAGAACCCACATGGTGACATAGAGAATCAACTCCCACAAGTTGTCCTCTGATATCCACATGCATGCTATAGCAGTCACATGCACACACACACACAATAATAAATAAATAAAGTAAATGCAAAAACATTCAGCCAGGTGTGGTGGCACACATCTTTAATCTCGGTACTCAGGAAGCACAGGCAGGCAGATCTCTGTGAGATCCAGGCCATCCTGGTCTAGTGAACTCCAGGTCAGCTGCCTCACAAATAAACAAAAAACCAGAGGCAGGAAGGAGAGCACTCTCCTGAAGAGATTTTTACATGAACAGCATCTTTAGTCAGCAAAGACACTGAAGTCACCAGTCACGTGTGCCATTTCAATCAAGCTCTGCCCTCAGTTGCTTCATCTCTGGGACACGCACTCCAGTGAGGACGGAGGCCAGTACCATGGTCCCTGTCTCCAGACACAGGTCTCTGAAACTCGGCTGCCAGAGTCCTCAGGTCCGACCTTGACTGAGAACCTGCTCCTGTCTCTGCCACCCTCAGTCAGAGCCATGCAGAGGGAGAAAAGCACTGCCACATGGGAAAGTCTACACATCAGTCACAGAGCAACCCAGCTTGCTCCAAGCAACATGTGGACTGCTGTTCTCGGGCCCCTCAGAGTCCAGCCTCCCTCTGCACTCTCCCCTGGGTCCTCACCGCTCCCACCTCGCCCCTCCTTACTCAGGGTAGAGTCCCGAGTGGACTCCGGGCTCCTGGGGCCACGTCCACGTGAAAAATTCCACCTGCAGCAAAGGCAGACAGCTCTCAGGCTCTTGCCCCAGCTTAAGCCTTTCACCCCCACACACTGGACTGCCTCCCTGCACACCCGCTGCAGATTAGGGGTCCCTTTTAGGTTTCAAACTTATACTGCTAGTTTCCAAAAACCCTGATTTTCTACCTACAATTTCTTGAGTGAGGATGGAAGAGTCTGGGTTTTTGAACTGGGCACTGCAGCCTGAGGATGCCGCATCCTCCTCTCGCCATGTGTGAACCCCACCTTGTCATAGGCCTGACTGAACAATGCTTTCACATCAACTTGCTGAGGTCCACGGGGATCCCATCAGCAAACCAGCACCGCACAGCCTACGGCTCAGATAGGGCTCATGTTAACCAGAAGCAGCCTTTCATGGTTTTGCCTGAAGAGCTTGCTTAGCACACTAAGCAAGTTCTACATACATGCAGATAAAACACTCATACACATAAAATTAAAATGTTTAAAAATGTATGATTCTCCATTTCCCTAGTGACACGCAGTCCTCCAGTGAGGAGCGATGCTGTATAACAAAACTTAGCAATAAACCTGTGACTCAGTGAGCTAGGCTGCTGTTGGTTTTACTTTTTAATTTGCTTTTTTAAAAAAAATATTTATTATTTTAATTTTATGTGTATGAGTGTATTGCCTGCATGTATGTGAGTGCACCCGTGTCGTGCAATGCCGCGGAGGTCAGACGAGGGCTTTGGATTCCCCTGGAACTGGAGTTAAGGACGGTTCACAGCCGCCCTGTGGGTGCTGGGAATTGAACCCGGGTCCTCTGCAAGAGCAGTCAGTGCTCTTAACTGCTGAGCCACCTCTCCAACCCCCTTAATTAGCTTTTTTTAGAATGACAGCCATTGAGTAGAGATTTAATAAACAGAAGTGCAGGAAGTAACCCTTGGTATTCAGTGTCCAGCTTGGGTTGGCAGAGGTTAGGCTGTGTTGGCACAGTCTGTGGCACTGACATGTCTTCTTCGCCTGGCACTGAGGGTGGCTGTAGCGTGTCAACCTGTAACATGTAAGCTATGGACGCTCTTGATGGGTACGTCTTCCACTTGGTTCATTCTGACCACCGAACTGATATGAGCAGCCGCTTCGGGGACACCATTTGTTGCTGCTTTGTTTATTCCGGGATGGAAAGATATCCACAGCAACCTAGATGCCTTCCAGAGGGGATGGGTAGGTGCGTGATTGGATTGTCACTTGAGTAATTCTATGCAGTTGTGAAGACAGCTGACTAGCCCCACTGCAGCGTTAAACAGCAAGGCAACAGTTTGAACTGGATGACTGCATTATGGGAAAATGGCCCAAGTTTACGGATGCGGAAAGAATGGGAGGCAGTGTCCTGCCGAAGTGCTACCTTTAGTCGGGACGGTGGGGAAGGCTGTCCTGCTTCAGTGTTTCCTCCACTAGCTGTCCACTGCTATTTTCTTTTTAAGACATTTTATTTATTATTTTATTTTATGTGTATGAATGTATTGCCTACTTTTATGTAAGTGCACCCATGCCATGCAGTGCCCAAGGAGGCCTGAAGAGGGCATCAGATCCCCTGGAACTGGAGTTTCAGATCATTGTCAGCCACCATGTTGGTGCTGGGATTTGAACCCTGGTCCTCTAGAAGAAAAACCAGTGCTTTTAACCACTAAGCCATCTCTCCAGCCCCCATGTTTTGTTTTGTTTGTTTGTTTATTTAATGCTCTGGGATTATGCTACCCAACACAGTCACAACAGGTAGCTATTGAAATTTCAATAAATTAAAACAAAATGAAACGTAAAAGCCAGTCCCTCAGGGATTCCAGGGATTCATGGCCACGTGTGGCCAGTGGCTACAGTACTGGATGGCTCAGATGAAGAATACTAATGAGTACCATCTCCCACGAAGCTCTGCTGGGCAGTGCTGCCCATAGAAAATGCTCCACTGGGATCAGGAAAGTGTATCTCCACTCCAGGATGAGGCAGAGGGTGCTGTGACACTGACAGTGGACCCCCTTACATCCCAGCAACCAATAAAGAGATCTGTCCTCCGCCAAGGGGTGGGAGAAATCTGGAAATGGCAACCAACCACCGTGATTCACACAGGGACTGACCAGCTCTGGAATGTCTGCCACCATTCCCAACAAAATCAATGCTCGTCCCCACCCCCACCCAAGAAATGAAAACAAAAGTTAGAACCCCCTACTTAAGAAAGGTCCCTCTGGGGCTGGAGAGATGGCTCAGTGGTTAAGAGCACTGAGTGCTCTTGCAGACGACCCAGGTTCGATTCCCAGCATCCACATGGCGGCTTCAAACTGTCCTTAACTCCAGATCCAGGGGAATCCGAAGCCCTCTTCTGACCTCCGAGGCACTGCACAACATGGGTGTGCTCACATACATGCAGGCAATACACTCATACACATAAAATGCAAATAATAAATAAAAATATTTAAAAAAAGAAATGTCCCCCCACCTTAAGCTGGATACTTATATTTATGGCCTTCTGTTTCTTGTGTCACCAAACAGGACTACAGATGGATCACAGATGAAGGGTAATGTTTTTGAGGCAGGGTCTCAAGTAGCCCTGGTTGCCTTCTGAACTTACTATGTGGCCAAAGCTGGCCTTGAACTCCTGATCCTCCAGCCTCCTCCTTCCAAGTGCTAGGATTACAGGTTGTGGCACCATGTCCTGAAGTTCTTTTTATTTGTTTTGCTTTGTCTCTGGAGGCAGGGTCTCTCTACAGCCCAGGCTGGCCTGAATTCATTTTGTATCCTAGTCCGACTTCAAACTCACAATCCTCTTGCCTCTGCCTCCAAGGGTTGGACTTAGGAGCATGCCACCATGCCAAGGTAAACGCCAATTTTAAAAAGAAAAATTAAGCCAGGCATGGTGGCGCACACCTTTAATCCCAGCACTTGGGAGACAGAGACAGATGGATCTTTGTGAGTTTGAGGCCAGCCTGGTCTACATAATGAGTTCCAGGACAGTTGGGGCTACAGGGAGACCCTGTCTCAAAAAGACAAAAAGAAAAAGTAAAATTAAAAATTATCTTAAGGGCTGGAGATGGCAGAGGACCAGGGTTCGGTTCCCAGCACCCAAATGGTGGCTAACAACCATCTGTAACTCCAGTTCCAGAGGAATCCAATGCCCTCTTCTGAACTCCTTGGGAATCACATGACACAGATGCACTTACATTCATGCTGGCAATACACAAAAAACAAAAATAAAAATATTTTTTAAAATTATTTTAAAAGTCTTGGAAGCCAGGCGTGGTGGCACACACCTTTAATTCCAGCAGCACTCAGGATTCAGAGGCAGGCAGATCTCTGTGAGATTGAGGCCAGCCTGGTCTACATAGTGAGTTCCAGGCCAGCTGGGGCTATGGGGAGACCCTGTCTCAGAAAACAAAACAAACAACAGAAAAACTAAAGGGGAACTGCCCTCTCTCACTTGACCTAGGAGGAGGATGCTGCCTGCTTCATTCTGGAAAGCACCACTGTGACTACTGCAGCTGACTCAGCTCTCCAAGGTGCACACAGAGCAGGCTAGAAGCAAGCTGTAACACCCAGGAAGCAAAGAAGAGCTGCCCGGAAGACCACGAGGGAAGCCAGGTCATTTCCTAGTCTAAGAAAAAGAAAGTAAGTTAAAGGCAGAGACAACCCACTCAATCAGTGAGGGGAGGTTAAGGAGCCCTGAAGAGGACACCTACACTCCAGGGAAAAGTGAGAGAGGCAGAATTTACTTCCACAAGGCCTGATGCTGTTCCCTGGTCCCACCAGCCACCGTTGGCTTTCCTTGGTGACATTCATTCTGCCTCCCTGGATAGTCAGCCATCAACCAATCAATACCCATACCTTCTAGAGCTGTCATGAGGGTTTGTTCCAGATACCTGGCCACACACTATAGGGAAATCTCCAGAGAAAATGACCCTTCACAAACATGCTGGGTCAAAAGAAAACTTGGGTTCCAGAATTAAGAAAAAGTGAAAACACAGGAAAAGAAATCAGGGGGATGAGATTTTCTCAAAGGCACAGAGGCGATGGATGTGTCTTGGCTGCTGGGGCACAGACAAGGGAAAGGGCCAGAATGCAGAGAAGGGCTCAAGGCTCAGTGCACTAAATGCAGAATATTCAAAGCTGGTGGTTGCTTCTAAAACCCAAAACCTCACTCTTCTGTGCAGACCCCACCCTTGGGGTCAACTTTGTGCAGTGAAGGGGATCAGAGAGTCACTGTCCCGGATGCTTCACTCCAGTTGGCCGTGAACTGGGGGTCCCCGGGGTCAGCACCCTCCCCAGGTGGCATCCAGAGAGCAGAGGCAGGGGACAGCACCAGAATCACTAGGTCCAAGTCCAGCTGGATGGTCCCCAAGGTTTCCCCAGGAAGGAGGAGGGGCCTATCCTGAATCACCTAATCACTAGATCAGGTCTGGCTGGACCCACCCCAGGAGGTCCCCAGGGAGGAAGAGGGGCCCGTCCTGCATCACCTAAACACTGGTCAAGTCCAGCTAGACCCTCCCCAAGGGGTCCCCAGGAAGGAGGAGGGGCCTGTCCTGCATCACCTTATCACCCGGTCAGGTCTGGCTGGACCCGCCCTGCATCACCTAATCACTAGGTCCAAGTCCCGCTGGACCCCCAAGGAGGAAGAGGAGACGGTCCTGCATCCCCGGGCGACCTGACCATGGCTGGAGCCCGGGCGCAAAACCCGGCAGCTGGCGTGCCGCTCTGCAGGACGTCCGGGCCTGCGCGCGGCGGGGTACGCGGCGAAGAGTCCCGGCCCCAGACTGCGGATGCGCCCCCGCCGCCCCCGCCCTTGGATGTCCCCCGCCTCAGTTTCCCCGCCCGCCCCTTACCTGCTGGAGGCCGCGGAGGCTGTCCCGAGGGGCGCCCAGCAGCGCGCACAGCTCCAGCAGCCCCGAGGGCAGCGACAGGAGCCCCGCCGCGGTGTCCGCCATGGCCGCCCCGATCCAGGCCCGTCCCCGGCCTGGGCCCGACACCGGCCCCGACCGCACGCCTCAGCCGCCCAGCCGCCGGGTAGCGCCGAAGCCCGCCGGAGACTCCGCACCGCCT